TTAAGGCTCATTAGGCTCCAACATGTCTACAACGGTCTTTAACTAGCGTGTTCTTATCATATACTTTTCCATAATTACCTTTGCTAATGAGTCTTAACTTAAATCAGTCATTCACCATGATCTTTGTGTAAGTTACTATTTCACATTATTTCTTAGGTTGGGCCCAAAATTGTATTAAGGCCCATTAGGCTCCAACATGTCTACAACGGTCTTTAACTAGCGTGTCTGACTTAAACTTGAAAAGTTACAAGCCTAGTACAGGTGTTGGGCCCGTACTTAGTGTTAAAAAATTTTCATTCCAATCTTGTTTTGAAATCATTAGTAAATCTCATTTTACCGTTAGTAATATCGTCAGTTACTAGGAATCGGACCCGGTAAGCACTTAGTGATTATATATTTATATATATATATATATTTTTAGAAGATAATCATAAGTTTGTAACATAATCTAAAAGTTTCGTGTTTCACGGAAAATGAGGTTCGGTCTTAGAACGGACCGAAATTTTAAAATAACGGGGGCACAAATATTATTTCGTGCAGTTTTTGAAAACGTCCCGAAAACGCATCTTATAGTCAGAATTGTGATTTTTTGCAGTCACAGAGATTTGTTCATAACATCGAAAACTTTAAGACACATTGCTTAAAAATCCCGAAATTACCCTCTAAAGGGTCTAAAAACAGCAAAATAGAAACTACTTTAAGTTGACAGTTTGGACAATTTTGATAAAATTCTGAACAGTCTTAGAAAAACGTCTAAAACAACATTTTAGGGGCAGAATTGAGATTTTTCTCAGTCACAAGGAAATGTTCAGCACATCAAGATCTTCAACTTTTGTGAAATAACATTTTTCTCAATTTGGAATCTAACAGCTCCGAGTATTTAAGTCAAAGTAGACTAAATTTTTTTACCCAAAATAGCAAAATAACAACCTTAAAACATGAAATATAAATTTCAAAACATAGATCTAACATTAAAAACCCCATGCATGTGGAGATCAAACCTTTTAACACACATAAAACACAACTTTGTAAACAATCCAAATTTTGTTCTTAAAAGAAAAAATGATCAACTTTATGTATGTTGAGCCTTACCTCAAATCTTAGGAGAAGATTTTTGACCACCAAAATGAGAAGGTCCTACAAAGATGTAAACTTTTACTCTAGAAAAAAAATCTAAACTTGAACATTCTTAAAAGAAATAAAGGAAGCAAGAGATTATCCTTTGAAGAAAACTTGTAAAAACTCCACCAAAAGCTTCTTCTCCTTTTAGTACTTTTGGCTAGTGGGGTTTAAGTATGGAAAAAGAAAAATTTTGAGAGAGATGGTGAGAGGGGGCTACGGCCAGAGAGGTGAAAAAGGAGAGAGAAAGAGTGAAAGAAAAAGAAATGAGGAAATGGTAGAAAATGAGCTTAATTTTAAGTGGTGGTATTTATAGACAATGGTTAATTATACTTAATCATAATTCTTAAGCTTCTTAGGCTCACTAATTAGACAAAAATTTTGATTAACCATACTAAATATGGACTGCCAAAGATTAAGAGAAAAAAAGAGAGAGAAATCTCCTTAATGATGACTTATGACACCTTTCAACTCAAGGTCAATCAACTCTCATCATTGTCTCCCACTAACATCCTCTTTCATCAGTGCAAACTTGTATTGATAGTGATTTCTAGATCAGTTTTTAGGATAAATATTTTCTGACGATTTTCAGTTCACTATTTAAACCACAGTTTAACACTATATTCGGTAGAAATTAATATCGGTTTAAATTTAAAATCGCATAGATTATTCGGGCTGTTTCCTAACTTTAAAATTTGTCTTAAAATAACTTAAAATATGAGTTTAACATATGTGTCTTAAACTTTCAGTAAAACATGATAACCGATAGTGTTAATTTTTGAGCTTGGCTTTACGTTTTTTTACCGAAAACGCGACTCACGTAACTCTGATTTTACTAATTGGCAATTAAGCGCTTCTTTAAATGTTAGAGTGTTTCTCAGAGTATTGCTAATACTGTACAATACTTGAGAATTCTTATGAGCAGGATCACGAGTCATAATTTAATCAAAAATTTCTCCCGTCTTAAATTGCAGTGAGGATTATCGGTCGAGTCATAACATAAAAATTTTTGACATAAAATTTTTATATAGAAGTTTTGAATAATATTATTAATTCCATAAATCTTTCATTACAAAACATGTCATTATTTAGGAACTCTATGATTTAATTACATAAATTACATTAATTAACATCAAGATTTTTCCGGTCAGACGACGACTTTGGTTAAGGGGCCTATTTTTAATATGCCATAGACAAGAGGAAAGTACCACCATTTTCGACCGGAAAACGCTGAAAACCAACAAGCCCTCGTTAAGGGCGCTCTAGCGATCACAACATCTTGTTTTTGATAGTCATGCTTTGTCACTTTGCAAGTAAGAAAAGTGAAAAATTAGTGTAGGATGCTTTACTGTTGGTTTCGAGAGCTATATTTATGGTATATTTGGATTCACCAGCCATGAAAATATGATCCAAGTATGACAAATGATATATTATGACAGGCATATACAATAAGATCACATCCTGCTTAGTTCTCCCTCACAGCTTTGATATGCATTTTCGGCCTGGTTGTAGGCACAATCTTAGCCCTCATAGTTGAATGGAGAAATAATATAGTCTGGTCCATACAATTAGAGGTAAAACTTTCACCAGCCATCTATGGCGCAAGCACCAAAAATGTATGTAATCTTAATTAACAATAATGTAAATTTTTTTTGTTACACAAATTGTGAGCGGAAATACATATATTTCCCCATTTCCATAACGAAAATTTGATTCAAGAGATCCTTTAAACGTCTAAAAAAAGGTGTATAATGATTAGTTATTTACAAGTTTTGTGCCTATCACAACGTATTCAAATATTGTGTGTTACTAATGTAAATGATATATTGAAATTAGGGCCGGTAATTTCAGACACGACACGAAAACAACACAAGATAAATGAGTTTGGACCGCACGATTATTAATTGGGTCGTTAACGGGCTAGCACGAATAATACGAAAATAAATGGACTAGATTTGTGCCAACTCGTTTAACACGCTTAATCCGTTTAGTTATACAGGCCGTTATCAGGCCGACACCGCCCAGCTCGGCTCAGTCCAGCCCGATCCATTTATTAAGCGCATATATATATATATATATATTTATTAAGACAAAACCCTAAGCTTCTTCTCTCACCCGCTGTTTTAGCCTTTCAGGTATTTACCTTCCCATTTCTTCAGCAAATAAGATTGACAAGTTTCTGTTCTCAATTTTTCTTCAGTAAAAGCAACGAGAGGTACCAGATTGACAAGGTATTTTTCTTTTCTCCATTTCCATTTTCTCTCCTCTGAACCTTTTTTCTGCCATTCACTTCTCGCACGTGATCTCTTCCTCAATTTCTCCGTTCTCTTCTCCGGTCTTCTCTTCTGGTCAAGCTCAGACATAGTTCTGAGACTGAAATTTCCCACTCCTGTACGCTTCTTTCATGCAGCCCTTCACCCTCTCTCTTCTCTCATATTCTTAAACCCACTTTTTCTCTCTTTTTCTTCCACGCCAGAAACCGAACCTTCTTTTCTCCTCTCTATTCCTTTGAAAACTCCAATCCCGTAATTAGGATTAGGGCTCAAGTGAAAGCCCCAAAACTCCATTAAAACTCAAGGTTTTGAAGAAATCTTGGAGCCTAAGGTCTATATAAAAGACGGTGTGCTTTTAAATCATGTTTTGACTCCTAAATTTGAGATTTTAGACGTCTTTGTGTGGATCTTGGTGGCAATCTGAGTTTGGTATTTTCATTAAGTGTTTATTTTGTTGTTATTTTGTTCGATTTGATCTTATAGAGTTAATGGATAAGTTTTCTTATTGAAAAGAGAATCATAATTACAAAAAATGACATAGACAAAGCACCCGTATGTTAAATTCTAATTGGATGGGTGTACCATATAAATATGGTGATGTGATACACTTGTACATTGAATAATTCCTCACAAAATATTGGACTGTTGATAGGATTACTAGAGCAATTATTATTATTGGTGGTCTTTATTTAGTTCTATGGGGAAAGAGCAAAGACAAACGACGATATTACCATAAAATGAGGTGGAAGCCACAAATGATCAAGACAAGGATATACAACTCAGAGGGTATGACATGACATGTATTTGCTTTGCATGGGTTCCTATGAGAAATTTTGTGCATTGTGCGGCAAGAAAAGATGGCAGTTTCATTCGGAATTCTACAAGCTTGATTACTTTTATGGGTAATTTGGATGGAAAGGAAGCCGTCCCATCGTTGAAGATAAAGGGCACCATGAGTTTTCCTTAGAGAAGAGGGTAAAAGTTTGGGCAGTTTTTAAAAATATCCCTTAAAATGGAATCTCATTTTATTTTTACCCCTTAACATAAATCCAATAAAAAAAATTCTTTTGTGTTCTCTCTTTTTTAAAAACACCAATGTTTCCTATTTATCCGCTGTCGATCTGTATTAAATCTGGTTAAAAATTAAATTAGATTAAAAAAGTAATACAAATCTAACGGCTAATAATAAAGACCAGTGTTCTAAAAAAACAGAAAACCAGAAAAAGTCTCCATATATTTCTTTCTTTTAAGAACGTAGAATTTATAATTTTCTCTAAAAAGTTTAGCTTCAATGCAGGCTTATTCAGCTAAGGAGTTCAAGCACTCTCCTTTTTCTTTGAATGTTCTTAGTTAGAACTTGCTTCATGGTTTGCTTTAATTTTCCATTTGTGTCAGTTTCTTTTGAAGAGTACATTATCCTCTGATTTGTTTGTAACTTTATTTCAATTGAGCAAGTGTGTTTCTTAATTTAAAAAATAACAATAAAAACACCCAGTTGCGCTGTTGACAGAGTGGGATCTTCATACGAATTACGTTAAAATCTTCAGCATACATTCATGTAATGATGCAGAAGTCATTACCAATCTATATTGTAGATCAAAACCGCCCCACAAACAAACAAAATCACAACAAAAAAGAAAATCTAGTTGGGTTACCAAAAAAAAAAAATCTGGACCTCTGTGGCAGAGGGAAATCTTGCAACTAGCAATTATCAACTAGCAGAGTGGACTTAGTTCCAAGATATTTTCAGCCAAAAACTGACATATTTCCAGATAATTGGATTCTCCTCCAATATTTCTTGTTTTCTCTTCTGATATAATAATACTTGAGGATATTATACGACAGTTCCCAATGGGAATGAGGCCAGAAAGACACTTCCGAGTGCTTCGATCACAAAGTACTAGAAAATCTCACCCTAATGCAAAACAGATTATAAAAAGACTGTCCAAAATCCATAACAAATTTAACATCTTATTCGGGGAAAGTGAAATAGACCAAAAACACCTATAAACATCCACCAGCTGAAATTATTAAAAGCTCCAAACCCGGTCTAGAGTTTTACTATAAACTGTGTGACGCTATTCACAGATCCCATGCGAACCTACCAGAAAAACTTTAGAGAGGCTGATTCTTATCTCATGATGGAATGGTTACTTCATCCTTTCCGTAGATCCGCTGAAGTTCGCGAGTGGCAGCTTGATATGATGCTGCGTAGAGCAGAGAAAACAAGATCATGTGAGAGAGATATCTTAACCAAATTAATCAAAGAAAATGATCAGTATATGAAAACAAGATCATGTGAGAGAGATATCTTAACCAAATTAATCAAAGAAATGGTCAGTATATCCACCACAACAGTTTAGCTACCCGTACTAAAACCACCTAAAACTATGAATCACCTTTCCATATCCGGAAATTTTTATGATTAATGGGAGACCCTGTCACATTTTGAATTGCATCAAAAAGCATCTCCTGAGGAGTGTTCTTCAACTCTTGAACCACCGCATAGATGGTTTTTCCATTCTCAAAGTAAATGTGATTGTTGGGGTGTTTGGTCTTGCAACCAGCATGGCGCTCAAACTCATAAGCATTGAGAGACTGCATGAACAATTCAATTCATCAGAGCAATGCCATGAAGCAAACTGAGCGCGGCCTATTCAAATAGCTAAAATGGCACAGAATTCACTTACCTTCGATTGGTTGCAGTCAGTGCAGGAACACAGATACCCAGTTCCTTTTATAATGCCTTTGAGATTTTTCTGCCAGAAATAAAATATATTTGCCATGACAATAAAGAAAAAATTGATCCAGAGAATAGTGGATCACCCAACCAAACTAGTAGAGTTCAATAAACATATAGGGTAAAAGCTTACCTCCCTTGACCAGGAAACATACTTCACAGGAACCCCATCAAACATACCGGTTGATAACAAACTTTTGACATTTGAAGGAAAGTTGTTGGGAGGTGCCTTCTTAACTGTCTTTGGCTCTTTATTCTTAGGAATGTTATCAGATTTAAGATCGGCTTGTGGAATGCTATTTACACTTGGATTAACATTAAAGTCAGCTGAATTTTTCTGCTCAGATACTTCCAATGTTTGAGCTGAATTCTGATTACTCATCAACAAATCGTAACTGCTAATGATTCCACCAGAGGGATTAGTCTCGGGCTCGTCGTGGAAACCTCCAAAAGATATGGTGGTGCTTTCAGCCTTGTTGTAGGTTTGACCCATTGACAAATTGCTAGAATCTCCTTTATCGTAGTTAGGACCCATCGGTACAACATTTGAATCAGCCTTATAGGTTGGAGTCGGACCCATTGAAATGATACTATCATTCCCCTTAATGTACGAAGGAGCCATTTGAATGAAATTATTGTTTGCTTTCCCATAGGTTGTACCAACCGAAATAAACTCTTCATGTCCCTTGTTATAGGAGGTACCTAATGATATGACACCACCATCTCCCTTTTCATATGATTGGCCCATTGATATAAAATTGCCATCCCCCTTGTCATAGGGCTGACTCATCGATAACAGACCATTATCACCCTTGCCATAGTTATGTCCCATGGATATGAAATTGCCATCTCCCTTATTAAACGTGTGACCAATTGAAATGAAACTTTCATCTGCCTTAGTAAAGGTAGGGCCCATGGAGATAGTATTCTCTTCTCCATTGTTATAAGCTGGAGCCAGTGAAATGCTGTTGTTATCACTCTTATTATAGGAGTTACCCATCGATATGGTATTATTCTCTACCCTACCGTAGGAGTTCCCCATAGATGGATTCAAGATGTTGTCAGAGTCCCTAACTTGATTGACTTTAACTTTCCTAATTCCACCAAAATTGAGACATGATGAGGGGTCTTCAATGGTATGAGACATTGACAAACCCACTGATGGAGTATTTCCATATTGACTCTCAAAACCCTTTCTTCCCATATTCATATTTCCGCTACCAATAGATTGGACATTTCTATCGACCAGATTAGAGTTCCGTACAGGTTCAGATCCAAAGAGGCGGTCAGTAAATTGCCCTGGAACTGACTGAAAGCCAGAAGTGTTATCCCATTGAGAAACATTCATGTGCGGAACTCCTGAAATTGGTCTACCATTAACAGCCTCTACTGCCTGCTTCTTATTGAACAATTGTGGTCCATTAGCATCCATAAACCACTGACCACGCTTCTGCTCCATTCTGGAAGAATTATCATAACCCATCTCACCGTCAGCCAAGCATCCAGCATCTTTTGGCATCCAAAAGCTTTTGGGTTGAAAAGACTGTGAAAGTGGATTCTTAGGGAATGATTACGAATTGACAATGTTAAAGAAGCAACAAAGAGCTTAAGTAGAGGAAATAAAATACTAACAAGAAAAAGGTTCATCAAACTAAACATTTATATAAAATAAAACACCAACAACAACAACAACAACAACAACAATAATAATAGTAAGGAAAGAAAAGGTGAATGCTAAGGAAAATTAGAGAAATAACTAATTAATATCATGCAGGTAATTGCCATGCGTACACCTAGAATAGAAAGTAATGAGAATGAAATATCAAACGATGCACAAACAAAATCCAATTCTATTTTACATGTCTGAGGTATGGGTTACACCATCTAAATACTAATATTCAACCACCAATATCCTTCAACACTGATAATTGCATAATCCACATGTGCCCACAGGTATTAGAACATTGAACTTTTTGAACGTTTTGCATAACCCCGTAGGCACTTCAATTTTCCAAGGTCAGTTGCAACACTGCCAAAAAAAAGCCCTCAATAGCATACCATTCAAAATACTAAAAGTCAGTCATGCTGAGAAAGCATATATCAACTCAAGAATTGCCGCATAAACTCTTCCCAAGAAGAAAATGACTCATACATATAGCAGAAAACATCCTAAAGCATAAACTGACTTGAGAGTTTCTTCCTAAGCTCTCTCTTAAACTTCGTCCGGGAGTGAATGTTTGATCTCTCCCTCACAAAGGAAATAATGTCCAGGGTGTTTAAACTTTAAACCTTTCCTGTGTAGACTATAGAGTACTCATCATATATATTCCTCAATCTTTTCATATGTTTGAAATCTCTGATAACTCAGGAAGTCTAGCATATTCACATTGCCAGCACATGAGACAATTCTCATATAATAACCTTGATAGATGTTCTTGGAAGAAATTCAAAGATTACTAGATGAAAGAAGTGAAAAACAACTGAGATATCTACTAATCAATCATATGAATCCTAAATAGAAAATGAAGTACACAATAGATCAGAACTTGAATTCCAATTAAAGATTTTCAACATAGGAACAAATTCCTTCATTTAGAACATTGACATCCTAAAACAGTTTAATTGAAGTGAATTGTGCGGTCAACTAATAGATTGAACAATATAAAAACACTCGTTCCGTGAAGAAGAGAGGATTCTAATACCGCTCTACACCATAGTTCTCTACAGTGATGAAAGCCAATTATATTGAACTTTCAGCTTGTTTCTTGTGGATTTGTTGGTAAAAGACTTGTTTAGTTTCAGTTTAGACTTATAGAGTAAGGTAATCATCTTCTGGAGTATTGTTTTCAAACTCAGTGTCAACACTCGATTAATTTGCATCTACTGGGCAAGTGTGAATATTTCCCAAAGCATAAAACCCAACAAAAAAATAACATTCAATTCAATATATGAATATTTATGTGTGTATTGTACACACAAATCGATGAAACATCCACAATAATTAATTCGAAGCCGAAACACACCAAGAGTGGAAGCTCAAAACTCTACACAAGATTTGCATGCAATGCAAGAACTTCAAATTAGAGTTCCGAGCTTAATTACCATTTTTTCCGCAAGGACTCACTGAGTCCCCTCGGCAAAAACACTCAAACGAACTCGCTCACTCCTGCACAATCAGAATTGCCTCCTTCAAAACTCCAATATCGAACAGAAACTCGCAGACCTCCTCCAGCTTCTACGACACAGTACCGCCCCTAAAAGCCAATGACAGAAACCGTGCAAATCTGGATATTTCGAAGCGTCGCTCAATTAATCTGCAAAAGAACAAAACCAAGAGAGAGAAAACCCTAGAAATCAAGCTTCGATCACGATCAGAAACATAGTGAATGATCTACAGAGAGAAAAAGCACGCGAGAGCAAAAAGATCAGGTTGAATTTTCGAAACCTATACAGATACAAGCATAAAAGCAGATTAAGAAAGCCTCTAAATTGAGAAGAATGAGAGAGTGCTCGAGAAGAGTACCTTGCCGGAGCGATCCCGGCGAGATTTCCCGTCGCCGGAGAAGACAACTTTCTCCCTCTTCTTTTTTTTTTTTTTTTTGGTAGGAGAAAAAGTAACCTCTGTGACTATGAGTGTGGTAGATATGGGAAACTGGAGCCTGTGTTTTAACTTTGACAGAGGATTTACTACGCAGCTCCGTACTATAACTATGTAAGATTACGTCATCGTATCCGTACACGTGTCATTTTTGATCATGACCCCACATTTTCTGACCTTGTGTCGGTTTGGTGGGTTGGGAGGACGATCGTGACCGTCCGTGTTCGTCTTCTTTGGATGTGCTGAAAAGGAAAAGTACTGAAGTGGAGCTAAGAGCACGAGAGGAAATGATGACGTGGAATGTTGGGATTCGCTGGACATATGGCGCATTAACTATATTAGTGCAGGAGATTGGCGATGGGGTGGATTTCGTATGTAGGTCGTAGGGTAACTCTGTGAGTTCTGATCATGTAAGGTTTGGTAGAAGGAATCTCACAGCAAGATAAGCCAATGAGATGCCGCCACGCAAGTGGGTTTTGGAGTTTTGGTCTCTTAGGAAATCCATGAGACTACAGTGGGATCAACTTCAAATTAGGATATGGGGTTGGTATTAGTTAATTGCATTCCTAAAGTTCATGAATTAATGAGGTTTTAAATAGGAAAAGATTACATATGATGAAATGAATAAGAATATTTTGGTAAAATAAGATGGATGGACATGAAACGTCTAGCAAGGGAATTTAATATAACCTTTAAATGGTATGACTTAAATTTTACTTGCCAAGCATGCGTTAGCGGGAAAAAAAAATATTGAAATTAAAATAAGAACATGTTTAGCCTAAAGAGGTACAGTTGGTAAAGCGAGGGTGGATTAAATGAGAGATTCAGCGCAGAAATCCTTAAAAACATGGAGTGGAAAGTTTGTTTTTTTTTGTTTTTTTTTTTGTTTTTCGCTTAAAACCAGTTGAAGCGCAATCAAAGCCCTAAACTTGCTAAGCTAAGTACGTAGACAAAAACGTGGGATGACCGGAAGACCTCGTACCCTATAGTATTGTATATATACAAATAACAAATATTGTGAGGGCTTCTTTCTAAATTATACATCCCAACATAAATCTATATTATTCTCATATCTTTTGAGGGAAAGTATAATTATGTTACCCGAAATCCATTTTGAAAAATAAAAATAAATCAATGAATAATTCCTAAATTCTTTTCTCTCTAAAATTGGATTTTTAACTGTTGATAAAGACAACGGATGCAAAACCCTACTCTAATATCTTACAGCCCATTTGTTTGAACCCAAAAACCCATGTTTGGTTTGCAAAAACCTTAAACTTAGTTTTGGATTTTGAGTTCATTTCAATCTAAAATCAAAGGTTCTTACTACTTTTACTCTCCCCATTTTTTTAACACTATTCACAAACTTCAAAGATTCTCACCAACCATTTTCGCTCACATTTCTTTTAAACCCGATAGTTCCACTGATGTAACTAATTGCTGGGTCAAACTTTATTATCAATTTAAATCTTACACTACTAAAAGCCACTTCAAACTATAGAAAACTCACGTATAAGTTCAAACTCAAAGAACTTTTTCCAAAAGTTTAGACCTACCAATTTAAATATGTGAAACAAACGAGACCTTAAACTACAATGAAAAACCATTGTCTCTGATGCCCATGTTTTTTAAGCTTAGCCATAATTTTTTTGCAATGGTGATATGCAAAACATTTGTATATTACTCTCTTTTTCTCTCTTTCTTACATTTGATCAAAAAAGTAAACAAATAAAAAAAATTAGAGAAACTCTAGTGTATAGCAGATTTTTTAAACTTAAAATAACAAATAACATAATTATTTCAATTGGTTAGTAAATAGCAAAATCTTTAGAATCTGAATTTGATTTTCTCAATTTACCCTAATTAAAATTAAAATAACAAATAACATAATTATTTCAATTGGTTAGTAAATAGCAAAATCAAAAAAATATGAATTTAATTTTCTCAATTTATCCTTATTTTTAATTAGGGCTAATAGTGAAACTTAATCCCAAAATTTAACCTAAGAGAAAATATTCTCTCTCTTCCCACCTCCTCTCACGTTTATTTTTTATTTATTTTTATCTCTTTAGCTTGCTTTCTGTCACGCCCCCCAAACGGAGTGGGTGACGTGGAGTTCAATTAGGGGTTAATAGAGCAGATTCCTAAATGAGCCCCACTTAACTCCATTAAAATATAATATAAATTTCTAAGTCTTGAGCCCCTGACAACACACAGGGCTCCACCCACAGGATATATGGCATTGTACATACATGAACATGTAAATAATCAATTACAACAGACATCAACGATAGTCTAGTCAATCCAAATATTACATGAGTTTACAGAATTTTCAATCCCTTACATTTCTGTCAGAGGATGAACACAGTCCTCTCTTGTTCCAATAGCAGCACCACTCAGCTACTCCGTAGCAATTATCCAGCTACTGTGCACCGCTCCTAGAATCTCTTGGGAGGGGTTTAATACATTTAAAACATAAAACGTGAGCAAAAGGCCCAGTAGGATATAATTTGAAATTACTTAAAAATAAATGAATATATAAATGTGCGAGTAAATAAATAAATGGGTAAGTGAATAAATAGACATTCAGTTCCAACAGACGGCCGGAACCTCACATCCTTTTTCTCAAAGGAAACAAATGTAAAATCTCCATATTACAGGCTTCAGCAAGTAATTAGTACAAATTACTTACCTAACCAAGTGTCTTGCCTACCCAGACCGAGTTTTGGGTTCTGCCCCCGAGGATGCACTCTCTGCATCCTATCTAGGCTTACAGCAATAGAATCTCTTACCAGTTCACAAGATCTCTTAGTTTAAGAAATCATTCATTAACTTTCTGAAATCGTTATAATGACCCCACGAACTACTCAAGCCACGGGCCCCATGACTGGGCAAGCCATGAGGTTCCATGACTAGACAAGCTATGGATTCCATGGACAGGACAAGCCATGGATTCCATAAACTAAACAAGCCATGGTTTTCAAAGAGTTTTTCTTTCGCAACCCAACCCCTTTCTTTAAAACTACTGTTGCCTTTTTCCGGCTTCCGCTTCCTCAAGCCCTTTCAATTTGAATCATCAATGATCACTGATACAAGACAACACTTTAGGATCAATTCTCATTCCTAAAGCAATCCAATCTCAATTTCCAACCAAGAATTTCCTATTAGTGTGCCCTAATCCATTTTCATGTTTCAAATTATCATTCCAACGGTTTTCAATCTCAAAACAAGGATTAAAGATGCTAATCCATTCATCTCAAGTCCCCAAGTGAAGCTAATTTGGGTTCTCCCTGAAAACATGGGTCAAAATAGCAATTTCAGGCCAAACAGGGTCAGACCCCGTGTTAATCGGTTGATCGGTGACAGAACAGTGCAACACTACCGGTCGACCGGTAGTGTGCACTCCGGTCGACTGGTGAAGCCAATGCAATCCGGTCGACCGGTTACCATGTGATTCGGTCGACCAGACAGGTTGACTGGTGGCACCAGCTGCGCGAGAGAAGCTCGCGGAAACCAGTCCGAAAACCTGCAATCTCAGTCCCAAATCGAAATATTTCAAAGGAAAACTACTAGATCCGGGTTCTAGGTACTAAATCAAGTCCAAAGAACCAAAGATCTCCAATTTCTACCACGGTTTTACCTAAAAAACATTAATATCCGGTTTGAATAAAAAATAAGTTTTGAAATCCACAAATCCACGATTCAAGAGAGGGTTTTCCATAAATCTTACCTTGAATCCTTCTCTTGATGTTGAAAGCTTCTTGAAATCGTTCCTTGGTTCAAGATCCGTTCGATTGGGACAAAAAAAAACAGGAAGAGAGAGAGAGAGAGAGAGAGAGAGAGCACGGGAATGAGAGTGAAGAGAGAGAGTGTGTGTGCACGGGAAAGGAAAGAGAAAAGGAAAAGAAAAAGAAAACAAAATGGACAAGTGTCAATATTTTAAAAGAGCAGTCCAGAAGTCCGCCCATACACACTTCTGGGTTAAAATAAATTACTGAAAATAATTTAAATACCTTGAAACTATTTAAATTACACGTCAGAAACATTTATTAATCAAAACTCAATTAATTAAATCAGATTAGGCACACTAATAATCTAAATTACATTAATTAATCTCATTTAATTCTTCAGGGTGTTACACTTTCTCTCTCTCTCCCTTCGTGTTCTCTCTATCACTCACCTTCAGTGTCGGAACTTTAGGCCGGCGGGCCGGCCCGAGGCCTGATTTTTTTTGGGCTCGGCGTTGCAGGCCCAATTGCCAGCCTATCCAACTATAAATTTTCAGGCTCGGGCTCAGGCTGCCCAGAAATGGACACCATCCGGAGCCCACCCACCGTGTTATCGCCATCAACCGCTATCCGTCAGAATTTTTTTGAATTTTTCCGGTCTAGCCCGGTTTGCCCGATTTGCCCGAACTACCCGAAGCCTGAAAACCCGACCAACAGACCAATTTTTAACTGTTGAAGCCCAACCTAAAGCCCGGTCCCAACGGCTAGTTTTTTTTACTGTTACCCAATTTTCTGCCCGACTCGCCCGAACCAGACCTGTCGAAAACAAAACTAGCCGTTGGATTGAAATTTGGGGGAAAAATCAATTTTTTAACCCAAAAATTTCCCTATAAATACCCCACATTCCCCACACATTTTCCTCACTCAAACTCTCTCAATCCCTATCAATCTCTCTCAATTTCTCTTAATCTCTCTCAATATCTCAAATCTCTCTCACAATTTTTTCAAAAACTATCACATTATCCTAAAGCTTTCTCTCTCAAATCGCTCTTATTTTTTTATAATGGATTCTTTTGGTTATAGTGGTATTCTCGTTGATGCCCAACACAACGTGGAAGAAGGGCAATTTCTCACTAATGAATTTGTTACGCAGGAATCTAATAATTCGAGCCCTGGTGGGGGATTCTTTTGGTTATAGTGGTATTCCCGTTGATGCCCAACACAACGTGGGAGAAGGGCAATTTCTCACTAATGAATTTGTTACGCAGGAATCTAATAATTCGAGCCCTGGTGG